CCCCGTTTTCTTTCTTCCCCCCCCCCCCCGCACTCCCCCCTCTCTCCTTCTCTCTCTTCTATTACGTATAGGTTCCTCGCGACAGCCGTCCTGACGTGATTAACGAACGAAACACTGATGATGCGCGAGTATAGTGCCGTGGTGTCTTGGACGGAAATAAAAGAGTGAAACGAGAGAGAGACAGTCGACGTATATGTACGTAAGTATTAACGGCGGACGGAGCCAGTCACGCTGATCGCGGTGACGTGTAATTAACAAGTAACCATCTTCATCGCGCGTACATATGTAAAAAACCGTGCGCAAATACATAACGATAAACCTATATCTCGTAGCACAAACGAGAAAGAGAGAGAGAGAGAGAGCGCGCGCGCGCTCGCTCTCTCTCTCTCTCTTCCTCCCCTCCTCATCGCCATTCGCTGGCGATCGAAAATATAATCCGGAAACTCGCTAATGCTCTCGACAAGTGTTCCCCGAAACGTAAATGACGGAAGAAAAAGACGACGGAAGACCTCGCGGTGGCCCGCGGGGTCAGGTAACGCGCACTGCTCGGGATGAAAAATCATGATGCTTATAAAAACCTCGCATTGAAACCCGTCGCGCGCACACAATGAAGACGCTCCGCGCGCGAATATAAAATATCGCTTCGATACACGGTGCATATCGGAAGCAAAGAATCGTATCCTATACAGGCGCGTGTTTTGTGTGTGTGTGTGCGTACATGGCGCACCGGTGACCTCCTGATCGGTGGACCTGTGCGCGCACACGTGTATGCGGTACATGTCGAGTCCTTTGCATTCGGATGAACGGATTTGTGTCCTCACACGCGGGCTGCATCGGGGTGGTGCGAAAGGTCCGTCGCGTCAAGTGGAAAATGAAGTCGTACGGTCTCGGGGGATTAGTAATTTCTAATAATAATAACGAATTAAATCGGACAACATCGACTCAGTACACTGTAAATCCAAGTGTGTTACTTTTACATATCATAAACATCTTAAAATGACACATTCGTCCGGAGCTATTTTTATACATTTCTTGTCGATTTAGCTTACGTCACTCGAAACTCGTTAAATCAACAAGTTAAGTTACGACGTGTCAAGTCATAGCCAATCGTGTTAAACGGCATGAAATGTGTGAGAAGAGCTTCAGCTGAAAGACTTGCAGTGCACTCTGTGCAGATATCTAACGAGGACTTCCTGCTTTTCCTTTCAATCGCCTTCTCGTCACCTTTCCAATTTAAACTTTCCACGGTAAGAAGCCGACAGAAAAACGACGAATCCTTCGCAGCAACCCAATGTACAGCGTGATAACGTCTACGCATAACTGTAATCACGATGGCCGCTACGACGAACGGCCGCGTACGCGCCTAAAAGAGATAGTAATTTTACATTTAACCTTTAATGTAATAATAATCGAAATTGATTCGTTAAATCACAGTCGCTCGCGTATATGCCGGTCAGGCTTATACCCTAAAATTCACCTCGTTCGCGCCGAGTTGGCGCGCGGAACAATAATCCGTATTACAGTACGCGATACGCTCCCACTACGCGAAGATAACGCCTAGATGTAACAACGATGAGACACAATTCATTTGGGACGCGATCGTGAAATCAACGACGGGCGAGCGGCTAAACTCGAATGCAAAGGATGAAAAACGCGCCGGGCACGTGAGGCGTGCGGCTCCTCAGCTTCTCGCGTCATCGTATACCTCGTATAGTCTATAGCACGTAGCACGATCATCCTCGAGAGGCGGATTACATCGCAATGGCGTGACGGCGAGGCCCACGGCTGATCCACGTGATCGCTCGTCGCCACGCCGTTAAAAATTGTTTACCGACTAGAACGTATTTGTATGATACATTAAAAATTGACACATATTCCCGTTTATAATAAGTATCGGCCACCGTACTACGTCGCCTCCTCCCCCTGCTGCACGTGCAAGCGACCGAGCCGTCAGCGGTCGGTCGTCGGGGACGGTCTCTGATTCTATAGAGAGAAACGTACACGAAATATTCCTACCGGTCGCGACGGAATGCGCCCAACGATCATTTGGATCTTGCGGGAAAAGCAACGTTTGTTCGCTTGCGTCGTATTCTCAGGGAAGATGCGCCGCACAGGGAGGCAAGATCGGTCGAACCGGCGTGACGATGAACAGACGAAATCCGTCTGGCTCGAGGGAGACAGAATTTCTGGTTCCAAGAACAGAATTCGGCTCGCAAGAGCCAGAAATTGCGGTTTACCTCGACGAAAACGCGCTTGATTTGTTCGTTATCGCGTTAATTCAAGCGATCTTCCTTCTCTGCGTGTATATATCGACTGTATGTCGACTTTATATCGATCTATATGAAACGGTGTGTATATGGAAGTGGATAGCCCAGGAACGTATGGATTTCTGAATCGACGGATCTACGTATGTGGATGCGATGTATCCTGCGGATACGAGAGATCTGCGTGTGCAAAACGCGTTGGGCGCGATCCCTCGCGATATAATACACTCTATCTGCTCGTAGTCGCTATAATGTAAATTGTAATCGTCAATAGCGCAATTGTTCTCGAAACGTTAATCCGCAATAAAAACGACCGTGAACTTAGGCAACGATAACAATGTGTTCGCGTTAACAAGTACTTAACAATTACTTATTAGCTTGGCGATTCGTGCGACGAGAGCGAACTATACGTTAATACGTAACGTTAAAACGAATCTTCGTAAAATAGCACCTTTCCATCCGCCGGGGTTCTCGTATCACTGTCGTGTGCGCCCGATGATTTCGTCAGTCTCTATAATATATCGTTGGCCTGATTCAATCGAGTCAATCGCTGTAAGAACAAATGGGTGGCGTTCTCGCGGTGCGCGCGAGTTTTTACTCAAATCCGTCTGTACGAATCAATTCTTAGTATAAATATAGAAAAAGAAAGAGATCTTATAATTACCGAAATTAAAATTAGAAAATATTGAATTGAAAAAAAAACTAAGTAATACTGAAATAACAATTATTGCGATAAAAAATAAAAAAATTAAGATTTGATAAAATTTAATCTGTCGGAAAAATCTCGCGAAATCTGGTAAAATTAAAATTATTATACATCTAAGTCGGAAGTCTTGAAACAAAAGTTTCGGAAAGTTTAAATTAAGATTGTGGAGAATTAAAATTTCGGTAGAACTGAAACGCGGATTTTAGAAAGATTTTTGACGTCGAAATAATCAACGAGGAGTAACGAAAGTCTTGGCACATTCAAAGCGCCACGACATCGACGCGAGAATTCCCAGAACAGCACAGAGTTGCAGTCTTAAACTTCGCTGAATCGTAATTTTTTTTTTAGTCACGGCGGTCGGTGCGAAAGAGCGTAAAAGAGATGGACGTCACGTCGCGCCGTGAATCGTTTCTACTTTCAGTCTTTCTTCCATGATCCTTCAGTCTACTGATTCTAGCACCATCTCGCAGCTTGTTCATTTTTCTTCCCCGTTCGTCGTCACGTTCGATCGACGAACGGGCGAGCGGCCGGTCCGATCGACGGATCGGCCGCGCAATGTAACACGTTTACAGCTAATGCAAGATCTCATTAGAATTCAAAGGTTACATTAAATTATCGACGTTCGCATGCAATTACCTATACGTTCCCTAGCGTCTAATAGGAGAAGCCTTGCCGATGCTGATCTGGAGGACGGTCTCTCTTCGACCGTGCATCTAGCTTGACCTCTTCCTCCCCGAATCTACACCGGTACTATCGAGCAACCTCTTCCCTTTTTTACCTCTTAAGTTATCTTACATTTCTTCCGCCACTTTTGTCGCATTATCGCATCGATTGACTCTCAACGCTCACCGGACTGTGATCTCCTTACGGCTGTTCGCAAACTCCTCAAGCGTAAGAGCGACTGTTCCGCCGAGTTCAGTACTCCCACAAGGCTTCCCAGTGAATTCTAATTATCTAGATCGCAGTATTGACAAAATGAGGACGTGTGAGAGGGCCGATGAGCCCCGGGATCTTCCTCCCGCGGTGCTTCTAAGACCGCTGACTTCTTCTTCTTCTTCGTTCTGCCTGGGCGTTTTCGCTAGTTCGTCGCGTCCGGATTCGAAGACGGCGAGGACGCCGGGCTCTGCGTCAGGCTGGTGTCCCTCGCCAACAGCGAGGGGGTGACTAGCATGCCGCGCGGGCTGAAGGTGTCGCAGTAGAGATTCTCCTTCTTGTGCACTCGCCGCACGTGGCTACGCAGGTTGTCGCGACGCGCGCTCCGGTAAGCGCAGTGCGGACAGAGATGCGGCTTCTCGCCTGTGTGCATGCGCCGGTGCTGTATCAACTGCAAACGGTGAAGCAATTAATGCCACTGTTGCTCAATTAGTCGCGTGCGGCCGTGTGGCGCACCTATCCGTTCCGAATGTGTAATGTCGTAATGTTATGAATACGCAATGTTCTCCTCTTACACACACACCATAGAGGCAAGTCTGGCTTACAAAGCCGACTGTTCAGTTACTTTAAGCAGCCGAACTTTAACGTTACTTACAGTGGGTTAACGTTACTTACAGTGGTTAACTTATTGCAAGTTAACTTACGGTTATGTTGTTTTAAGTTAAATGAACGAGAAATACATGTAAGATTCAAGTAACTCTTTAAGGCTTTTCCCGGTTTTTCATTTTCTGGTTAACCTGTGGTTTAAACTCAAACTGATAATAATACGAAAATGGTGTTTTTTTATTCGTGGTTGATCATTAAACCGACGGTAACTTTTCAAGTTTAATGATTAACCACGAGTGGAAGAGCATAATGTTTACATCATCATCGAGTTAAGCTTAAACCACAAGTTAACCAGAAAATGAAAAACCGGGTCTAAGTTACATTACTTATATAGTGGGTTAACTTATAGTTGCGTTACTTGAAATTCAGTGAACGAAAACTGTAAGATCATTGTTTCGAGTTTGATTTTTGCAGACTGAGGAATGATGACGGTCCCGTTGGCAGCACGGACGTACCTTCTTCAATTGCACTGTGCGAAAGATGCAGATATCGCAGCAGAAGTATCGATCGTCGCGATGCCTTCGCATATGCCTGCTGAGGTCGACCTCGGAAGACCTGTCGGCGCCGCAAACGGCGCAGCTCACCCTGGTCTCCGGCGCCGTGCCCTTCGCGTGCGCTCGCAGGTGTCTCTGGAACGCCTTCTCGATCGTGCACGCGTACGAACAGAGCGAACATCGATACTCCTCCCTCTCGTATCTACGCATTATGAGGTGGAAATGAAGTAGACGTAATACGCGAGCGGTAAGTATATTAAAAGATCACGCAGAGACATGATGCTGATTGTGTGAGATTTTTTAAAAGAACGGAGGCAGAGAGAGAGAGAGAGAGAGAGAGAGCTTAGGCTACGGGTAGTTATATAAAATCGTTTGAGTACCTATACCTGACGCGTTGCAAGGCCAATGAGCGTTTCTTCCCCGTAGGCGTCATTCCCTGAGCCACGTGCGCCGCCACATGGGTCTCCAATTCACACCTGCTGCTCGTCGTGAAGTCACAACCCGTAGACGGACACCTCTTGGCCTCGCCGGTCTCCGCGCCGGACAGTGTTGGATGGCGATCGGCTATGTGCTTCCGCAGGGCCGGCCTCGTCGGTGCTACCACGTCGCAGGAACCGCAGGAGTAGCCGCGGTGAACACTGCTCACGTTCGGACTGCTGCCCCTGGATCTTTATTGAATATGTCTCAGTGTACCTTTCGCGCGCACCAATCTCTCTCACCGATCTCGAACGAATCGTAATCGTTCGGAATCGGGACCATCTGCAGATTAGAAAGCGCGCATTCTAAATGAATATTCTTACGTACTTCTCCGTGTAGGACGAATGCTCGCTCTCGGAGTCACTGTCGGAGGCATTGGCACCCTCTCTAGCTTCCAATGCCGCGGTGGCGGCCGACAGCCTGCTCAACATCGCAGTGTATGCGCTCAACACCCAGGTGTTCAGAGCCGGCGTCACCGCTCCTTCCTGAACATCGGTGGTGAGAAATATTTGAGAAAAATCTACGCGACCACATGTATCGATAGTTCACCAATCACGAGCCTGAGTCTGCTGAATGTAATTACAAAGAAAATGATTTTTTTGGATCTCATAAAATTCTTTTAATTGAAACATATTTCGTCTTTTGAAACGGAGCAAACAAATGAACATTAGATTCAATAAGCAATATTGTTTGGTTTCTTAAGCAATCAATTATTTGAAAGAAGTAACGCTATGTTATTAAAGAATCCTTTTTGTGTGTTTCAGTGGAGCAATATTTAATATATAACAAAAATTTTTTTGATTGAAATTAAATATTAAAATCTCCTAAAAGTAAAACATGGTTTATTCTTGTGAAATAACAATATTTTCATTCTAACAAAATGCATTTGATATTAAACTATGTCATCTATATTAAAGCAACCAATGTAAAAGAAATATGTATTCTAAATCTAAAGAAATCTTTTTCTCTGTGCAGATTTAATTTGTATTCACAGGGGAAGAAACGCTCATTTCGGAAGAATGTGAATTCGTGAAAGCAATGGACAGACCTTACCGAGGACCAAGCATGACATCGGATCGGGCAGCTTTGTGAGATTATTGTTGGCCGATCGATGTGAACTGTTAGTGCTCCCAGTGTCGCTTTCGTCGCCAGCGTCTTCGTTGTAATTGTTTTCGTTCGGCACGCAAGTCTGACCGGTAATGTGAACAGGAGAGTAAGTGTGAAAGAGACAGAAATCGTTGCCGCTTGTGCGTTTCTCACCGATATACAGGGTGAGGTAATAACCATCACCACCTTGAATATCTTCGAAAAATAAAAATATTTTATTCACGATTAGACGAAAGTGAGAAAAATGTATATTCGCAGAAGCTATTTGAAATGATAACCTCGGGCAACTTTCAATAGATAAATTCTCCTCTTACTCTCAAATTTCGAAGATATTCAAGGTCGTAATAATTATTGCCTCATCCTGTATATCCCTAATAATTGTGTGTGCACGAAAAAATCAAACGAATATGAAACATTCGAGACTCATACAAGAATATATAATCTTATGTAAATATGAAACTCTTGCTTACATATATACACGAAAAAATTCTATATAAATCCACTAAAAATATCATATTCTTATTATTCAGAAATCATTTTCTTGAGAGGAAAAATATTGATTAGAAAGAACGATATCCTGAAATTGATACAATTCTTATTTAAAAAATATATTGTTCTTTCTAATATTTTTCCTCTCAATTTATGAAAATTATTCTTGAATAACAAGAATTATATAGTATTTCTTCATGTAAGAAGTTTTGTCTTTGCATAAGATTACATATTCTTGTTTATATATGAGAATATGAGTCTTAAACTGAGTCTTGAACTGACATTATCGGCTAATTTTTCTTCCGTGAGGTTAATTGGGGTATCCAAGACTCTCAATAATGAAAGTTAAACCGCACGTTCCCGAGAACGGTTTCAAGCAGCGCCGCAAAAAACTCTGGCGAGCGGAAGTGTCTAATTTTTCGATTGATAAAGCTATAGCCCGAGGCAGTTAGCGACTGCCTCTCCGCTGGGAACCATGTTACCCACTATCGTTTAACGATATTCTATTTTTACCCCGTTACATCGACCAGGTGTGTACTCTCACCTGGTTTTCGTCCTGATCAGACTTTTCGATGTTCCTTTCGTTGTCGTCGCGTTGCCGAGTGTCCTCGTACTCGGCGCTCACGCTCTTCTCGGCATCCTCGGCGTCCTCGACATCCTTGGACGCGGCCGACGGCTTCGTGACCAGTTCTACAGGAGCATAGGGCGGTCCAGCCGCCGTCAACGGCAGCGGCAGTATATCCGGCCGATGAAGGGCGCTCAGGGCGAAGGCGGCCCTCGGTAGGATATGCGTCGCGCCGGGAGGCAGAATCGGGTACCTTCGGGCGAAACGCGGGTCGCCCCAAAGTTCACCCGCGACGTGAAGACCCCAGATCCCATATTCCATCTGCAAAGTGTCAACTGATGGATAGTCTCTCGGACTCGGCAAGACGAGTTCATGAAGAACCCCGACCAATTCGCGATCTCGACTGTCCCTCCCGGCGGAGACGAGCGCTAATTCGAGGACAATCGCAATCCCGGGATAAGAACGGGGGGGGGCAGGTTCGTGTCGCATTCGCAAGGCTCGCTTTGAAATTCGAAGTTCGCGGAGCCGCTTTATCGAGACACGCGATCGCAAAGCTCGCCATTCTATTCGAAGTAACTGCGAAGCGCCCGAAGTGATCAGATGTCAGAACTGAGAACCATCGAAGAGGCGAAGGGGGCTCGAATGTACAAATCGACACGGATCTACTCGGAGAGCGACCTCGTGGAGGCTCGTGTAGCTTTCGAAACGGCAGCCGATCGTCATTATGTTCGCAGGCGGGGAGGAGGGGGGCACACACAGTGTAAAAAGGAAAAGAGAGCAGGGAGGAGAGAAGAGATTAGCGGCGGTCCTCGCGCGAATCAATACTTACTCGCAATTTTCTCGCAAACACGGAATATGTGTTATCTATTTTCGCGCGTAATATATCATCTTTCTCTCTCTCTTTCTCTCTCTCGTTCCGCTCGTCTCGCTCGTTCGCGCTTAATTGAGTCGTTCGAGCGTATTTCGCCGAGCCCCGGATTCTGTGCTGATTAGCACGTCGCTTGTTTACTCCCTTCAGTGCTCATTCTCCGAGTAGCCGCGAAGGGCTCGTTACATGTTGCATGTATATGTGTGTGTGTGTGGAGAGAGCATGCCAAAAATAAATACACCAGAATCGGTCGATGTGCACGCAAGAGAGAGATTGAATAATACCGGGTGTAATTTAACGTGGGGATCCGCGCGACGTCTCGGGACGCAAATCCGGAATGGTAGTAACAACGCGCGGGCGGACACATTATGCGAGATCGTGTCTAATTAACTTTCCCCCGCGCGGAGTCCATTTTTCTCCCACGACTTCCTTCTACGCGCCTTCTCTGACCCACGAACGCGAAACGAAACACCCCGTAGTGTCCCAACTTTCTGCGTTCTCGACGTTCCTTTGAATGCGTGCGATCGCCTGCGTCGTCGAATTGCTCGTCGTCTCCGCGCGGCCGAAGCGCTACGCGTGCAGACAAACGGTCACGATCGTTCGGCAGCAAATCTGCAACCGGAAGTCACGAATTCCCATGCACCCTCCTTCTTGCAGATCGCTCTGCTGGCGCCGGTCATCGTGAGCCGAAACGCGGGTGAGGACGGAGGCAGAACTCCGCGGAAGAGCCGGAGATGGACGCGACCGGATGCGACTTGGCTGCGTTCTTGAATCTGCATTCACGGTTGGGAAGTTCCGCGAGAGATCAGTTGGAAACGGGAAGTGCTCGTCCCTGCGGTGAAACGTTTCGAGATAACGTCTTCCATCGTTTCCTTAGGGGGAAACGCGCGCGCGAGAGAGAGAGAGAGAGAGAGAGGTCTAATTGTACGTCCTTGTTGCAGATTTGGGAACCGGAAAAGCATTCTTCGAAGCTGATTCGAAATAAAGGAGACCTGGCGACCGAAATAAATATGGAGGAGTAATATAGTCAAATACAGAAGAATTTTGCCCGGCTCTCTGCGGTTTTATATCGATTCCGTCATGCAAATTAAACTCGCTGCTCAACGCACGGTGAACTGCGCGGGTTTAATTTATGCAATTGTCCATACATGGGTTGGTTTCCAGCAAGAGACACAGGTCGACGCAAGTCCAATTATATCATCTCTCATCCTCTTCTTTACCAAATGCGAAGTAAGGCCAAACGATGGTGTGATTAGACTCGTGTCGACTTTGTGTTTCTTGCTGGAGAACAACTATAATTTCTACATACGGCATTTCAAGTTTGCAATATATATATATATATATATATACACACACACACATGTATATATAAACGAAAAAAGCAAATGCCGATCCAGTAGAGATCACTCTAGGAAACAAGTAACTGAGTGGGAAACAGGGAAGAGAGAAAGGGAGAGAGAACGCGAACTGGGCGCGAAAATCGCGATTTGTACCTCGAGATCGGACCGAGCTGCAAGCGTAGATCGGCGCGATCGCCGCAAAATCGCAAGAGGACCGGGAAGCCCCCCTCCGGGGACATCCCTATGCTGGCCTACCGCAACAATTCGGGCCGATCGTCATTACGCTGAATCATCCCCCGCCAGTCGCCCCCTCTCGTCGCCATAAGGCCGGGCCGATCTCCACCTTACCGGTCGACCGGAAGTGCACGCGCGTCGCGGCGTAGCGCCGCCTCCCCCGCTACACTCATGACGACGACGACGACGACGACGACGAAAACGACGACGACGATGATGACGATACGAACGACGGTAATAAGAACGTGACGTCGTCGCGATCCGCGAGTATCGGAACGAAGGAGTAACGCGGGTCCGGATACGTGCCGCCGCAGAACGAACGAACTCGCGAGATTCCTGACCATTGGACCGACCCTCGTGCATGCATACTTTAGCATAACGTTCTCTATACAATATCCAGAAAGAGGGAAAGAGACACGGGGGGAGGAGGGGGTGAGAGAGCTGGCGGACGGGGGACGGGGTTGGAAGAGGAGGCGCGCCGAGGGGGAGGACCTCCTCAACCCTCGACGGCTTCGTCCTTTCTCTCGCTCGTTCGCACGTGTCCTCTCCCTCGCACATCCGGGCCCCCGGCCGTCCTACCCCTCGCGCTGACCCCTTCCTCCGTTGCCTTCCCGCTCACCGCCGCCCCCTCCCTCCCCCCATCGCTGCTGCGAATCGATTTGTTATTGTTTTTGTGTCTGCGGTCGTCGCGGCGGATGGAGTGAGCGGGGTTATATCGAGGGCGGGCGGGTAGGTCGCGGGGTGGCGAATGGGGTGGGGTTGCTGGTGCTGCTGATGCTGGTGCTGCCGGCGGTGCGGCGGTGGTGGTAGTGGTGGCGGTGATGGTCATGGTAGTGGTAGTAGTAATAGTAGTAGTAGTAGTAGTAATGGTGGTGGTGGTGGTAGTGGTGGTCGCCGCGCTCGAGCTTCGAAGGCTCGGCTTCGGTTTTCGGACCGGCAGAGAGGCGACCAGGGTGAATAAGCTGCTGCCGCTGCTGCTGCTGCCGGGGGTGGCGGAAGGGGTGGCCGAGGGCAAGCGAAGGGTGGCGGAGGGGGAAGACAGAGAAAAGGGATGGATACATGGTTCCGATCAGTGGCGTAGCCGACGTGAAACTCGAAAAACCGGAAAATCTCGACGTTTCCTCTTTCTCTCCCTCTTTCTTTTATATCTTTTTTGTCTCTTTCTCTCTCGGTGCCCCATGTGCGAAGGGACGCACCTGGACGCTCTTATGTACTTTTACCCTCCCGTCTCAAGAGACACGGTGACCCCGTGAGACCGTCGGTATAATTGTTCGCCGGAGCGAAAGAATAACGCGCTAAATATGACCACTCGTTCGGCCGGTCGTTGCGATGCGTTACCACGGAATCGGTAGCTAATCGCGGAAAAAGGACTGATCACGCCATTGCTATCGCTGCTCTGAAAAGAGCGAGAGGAAACGGAGGGTTGAGGATGGAAGCTGGTACAATGACGAGGATGAAACCAGCGGTGGGAGGGGGGGGG